AAAAAAAGAAAACATTGAATGAATGAATCCATCCAGTCCTGTCCCCATGCTGACAATCCCACACTTCTGTCTCTAGCTCCACATCTGACCCTCAACTGCCTCTTGGATGCTGCCCCTTGAATGTTCCAAAGTCATATCGATGTCCCAAGAGAACATATCACCCATCACCTTCCCAAGCTACTCCCCTCTGGGTGTCCCATTTCAGCTGCACTTCTGCCCTCTATCTCCCAGCCAGCCTCCTGCTCCTTCACATACCATGTCCCATCTCTTCTGCCTACGGTCTCCGTTTCCGCTGCCACCGGGGCACAGACCCGAATGTGATTTCCCTGAGGTCACCTGACCATGACAGAGCCCAGCACACTCATCACTCAGTAACAAAAACATAAATCCCTCCCTTTGCACAAACACCTGCGTGTTGACAAAACACCGGAGCAGACGTGACGTCACCCAATTTTCCTAACAACTCTGGGCTTAGATCTTATTATTCCCAACGGACAGATGAGAAAATAGCTTCCGAGAAAAGAAACAATATGCCTGGGGTCGGAGAGTGAGTAAGAGGGAGAGCTGGGGACTTGAACCCAGAGCCCCAGAATAAATCCGGAGCAGCTGTTATCTCCCTCAGCTGAAAACAGTCATTCTTGGGCCAGTTGCGTAACATCACTGGGCCTTAGTTCCCACATCTGTAAAATGGGGATGATAATAAAGCCTAGGTCACAAGGGCTTATGAGAATTTAACAGGTTCATCCTTGGGAGATGTTTAGAATGATGACTGGCAAGTTGTCACATTTAATAAATGTCAGTGTGCATAATTATTACGTTAGGCATTGGGAATTTTGTGGGTCTGTGTATTTTTCCTGAGAAGGGAATCCCCAGTTTCTATCAAATCTCAAAAGGTTCTGTGGCCCCAAAGTTTTTTTTTAGAATCTCTGGGCAAGAGAGATGGAGCTCTGGTGGTGTAGTTGTTAGAGCATTCAGCTGCTAACCAAAAGATCAGTGGTTTGAACCCACCAGCCACTCTACAGAAGAAAGATGTAGCAATCTTTTCCCATAAAGATTGACAGCCTTGAAAACTCTATGGGGCAGTTCTCTTCCATCCTAGAGGGTCCTGTGAGTCAGTTGGGTGGGCAAGAGCATGCACACCTTGCCTTTCCGACACCCTCCCCCCAAACACCCACATTCAGAACTAAGGAATGTGGCCAAAAACAAGAAAGCAAGTGTGTAAACACAAAGCTGAAAGTACAGTCTGAGTCTCTGAAAATTGTTATCACGCAGATGCTTGACACACAGTTAACCTTCTTCTCCCATCGTTTTCTTATTCCTGACAGGAACAGCCTCCGTAGAACCCTGCAACCATCTCAGGTCAAGTTGCAACTTCTATTTGCCTCCCTCCAGCCTAACAGGAAACATGGGTGGTTCTAACAGTTCAGTGCTTGACTCCCAGCTGAACAGCTGGCAGTTGGAACCCACCCAGGGGTGCTTCAGGAGAACGGCCTGGGAATCTGTTTCCAGAGGGTTACAGCCTTGAAAACCCTGTGGAGTGTTCTACTCTGCACACCCGGGGTCACCACAAGTCAGAACTGACTCAACGGCAACTAACAATAACAACCACCACCACCACCTCAGAGAACTGTGGTGTGGATTCAGTGAGAACACGGACAAAAAGAACTCAGAAAGAACACAGCCAGCATTCCACAATGGGTTGCTTGGACTGGCCACTTCACTTCCCCTCCCTATACCTCCGTTTCCTTCAGGGGAGTCAATTGCTTTCCTGACCTTCCTGGACACCTTCCCACCCTGAGCCCACTACCCTAGCATCATGATATATGGCCATGATTCACCCTGTTCCAGCTGAGGAAATGAAGACCCAAAAAGTAGAAGCAACCTCCCAAGGCTACACTCTGATTGCCTTGGTCACCGCTGGCCTAGTCCTTGGGTCTCTTTCCTCCTCTGTTGAGGAGCACTGGGATCCCACTACCTATTTTCCAGATAAGGAAGCTAAGACCCAGGAGGAAAAGTGACTTAACCCACTGCCAGCTGACTCAAGACCTGAGACTGGACCCTGGGCTCCAGATTGCTAGTGAGGTGGAGGTGGGGACAGGGCAGGATCACCTGAAGGACTACAGAGATGGTCTTCTCGCCTGCCTTGGCTGCCCGCCATTTCCGGTAAGTGTCCGCCTTGAGAAGGTTCTCTGCACAGTGAGTCTGGCGACAAGAGTGGGAAAGAGAGGGTTAGGCCACAGAGATGACAGCTGGGCCCAGCTCTCAGCTAATTCCTCTGAATCCTCCAAGTTCTCCACCAAACCCCCGATTTAAGTTTCCCCAGTAATTCCTCACACCCTGCCCATAGTTTCCTCTACAACCTTTTTCCCAAGAAATTCATCTACGGGCTCTCTAAAGAAAGTCCCTAGTCCTCCTTTTCTCGCCGGAAGTTCCACAGACGCCCGGAAGTTGCTCTACCCACCTCTCTCTCAGAATCCCTTAGAGGCCCCTGGAAATGTACCCCGGTCCTCCTCAAACTTTCCTAAGGTTCCCTTTTACACTCCAAAAGTTCTTGTAGAGCCCCCCTCGCTAATCCCCTTACGTCTTCCAACCTCCCGCGCGCCGGCCCCTCACCGAGTCCTGGCTGCTACAGGACACGACATGACGGAGACGGATCTCCGGCATGTCAATGTTTTGTCCGGAGCTTCACCTGGCGGGAAGGATAGAAGAGGGTCTGGGTTTGGGGGCGGGGAGGGGGCGCGCCTTTACACGGGCTTCAGTGCGCAAGCGCGCGGGGCTCGGGCCTTTCAAAACGCGGCGCGCCCGCGCTCGCGTCAACATCGCGCATGCCCAGTCGCGCCTTTACGGCCAGAGGCGCAGAGAACCCAAGCAACAAGTGTTTCTCTAGTCCCGCCTCTCTTGGCCCCTACTACTCTCTAGCCCCTCCTCCCGGTGGCTTTGACATCCTCCTTTCTGGGATCCGCCCCCACAGGAGCGGCCCTTGGGATTGGTCCCTAGGAGAAATTCCCCATTCTTATTGGACGATGCAGTCCCCTCCCAAACCGAAGCCTAGCACTCCGGAGGACAGCTAACCTGAGTCGGATTTTCGCCGGGAGCCGAGACGATCCTACCGTAACGAGATCTACTCCACTGGCTCCCGTGGCTACAAGCACCCCCCCCACACACACACACACACACAAACACACACCCAGCCTGGATTACTCCCACCTACGCCTCAGTTTCCCAGTACGATCTGTGAGCATCAGTCGCCTGCCACGCCCACTCCTGACCGCTGACAGGCACTTCTCTGTTCGGTCCCCAGGAGATCCAGGAGTCCGCCCTGGGCGAGGTCGGCGCCAGACAAGGCCTGAACACAGAGAAAGGAGTATGAGCCAAGTGCTAGAAGGAAAAGGGAAGGAGGACAAGTCTCCCGGGTCCCTGCAGAACGAGCCTGAACTTGCTGGGCGCTCCCAGGTGGGGCCCCACCTACGCTAGATGCCTCATTGGGAATAAAACGACCCCACTCAGACCTTGGGCTTTGAGTAAAGAAAATGGGCCGTGGGGATGTGAAAAACGGGAAGGTGACCTCCTGAGTCCTGATGGGAGATAGAGCTGGAAGCCCAGACTCCGGGAATCCCAGTGGAGGAGAGGGCTGGGCACCAGATGTCTAGGTCCCTTTTGGACGCTGGTTCCGCCTCCCCAACCCGGGGGCTGAAGAGGCTGCCTTTGGCTCTGACCTCAGCTCCTTCTTACCCCAGGGTGAAGGTGGGTCCCGACCCGACCCGCCCTTCCTCAGCTTCCTTATAGGCTGGGGACCCAGGACTGCAGGTTGACACACCATGAGGACTTCTCGGAGCCCTGGGACCTTCCTGCTGACCTTCACTCTGCTCTGCACCCTTCTGGGTCTCGGTGAGTGACTGGGGTTCTGGACTCCTGGGACCCTCAGGAAAGGGAACACTATGTAAGGGCATTCATCGAAGGTCCTCAGCGGGGAGAGGGGAAGTATCTCGTGGAGGGAAGAGCCTAAAGGAAGAGAGGGAATCTGGGGCCCCAAGGGAAGAAACATTCATGTGATTGGACCCCTGAGAGAGGAGGGCCTTGGTGGGCTCGGAATCCCCTTTCTCTCAGGTAGGGTCCCAAAGAGAGACATCCAAACTCTAGAGAATCGGATGAGAACACGACTGGGGGGGGGGAGTTTTAAAGGAGAGTATGAACAACAGCATGAATGAGAGCACTCTTTTCTCCCTGGGCCCTAAACGGCTTCAGGTCCCAGGATTGGAAGCCCTGAGCCCCTCTTCCTTCAGACTCAGGGTGCCAGCCCCCAGCCCCCAGCTCCCTTCTCCCTAAGAACCAGGATTTGGTATCCCCAGTCTCAAACTCCCTCAGACCCAGGAGTCCAAGCCCCCAGGCCCCTCCCCTCTAAGACCCAGGAGTCCATGCCTCCAGTCCTCTCCTCCCTCAGACCCAGGAGTCCAGGCCCCCAGCCCCTCCTCCCTGACCCAGGAGTCTGGGCACCAGCCCCACTTTCTCCATGACCCAGATGTCTGGGCACTCAGCCACCAAGGAGTCCATGCCCCCCGCCCTGCGGGTGCTCACTCGCCCTCCTTGTTCTGGGATGCCGCCTCAGGTACCTCTAACCTGAGCTCTCACTGTCTACAAGACCTACCTTATGTCTACAAGGAGGATGGCTCCATACCTTGGGACTAGCTGACCCTGAAACTTCACAGAAGTCCATGAAAGCCTTCACCACGAGCCCTCCCACTCTGAGCTCCATCAGCGGATCCTGCTGTCCAAAGCCCCCAGCCTTGTAATTAGTTAAACAGGCTCCCGCCCTGGGAGCAACTTTGCTAGCGTCATCACTGCGTCCCTGTTAGAGCTCTGGACTGCTGCCTGGACACAGGTCAATGCCCCGCCCAGAACCACCAGAGAGACACCGATCAGTCCAGGCCCCCAAGCCCTTCCTTCCTCGGGATCAGAAATCCAGTGCCCTCCTCGCTCAAAGCCAGGAGGGGTGTGGGGCCGTCTACTAACCCTACACCTCCTCCATGACCTGTGCCCCATCTCCCTGGGGCCTTGAAGTCGTGGTCCGCAGACCGCACCACCCTGAACTACAGCCCCACCTTCTTCTGCCCTGCAGGATGCCCATTAAGCTGTGAGGTGTGCAAGGGCTCCGGGCCCACGTGCAGCGGAAAAATGAAGACGTGCGAGGATGGCAAGGACGCATGCGTGATCGTCGTGGGGGAGTCGACCACAAGTACGAGCGCAGGGCGTCAGAACAGAGCTGGGGGGCCGGGGAGAGAACCCTCGGGTCAGGACGAGGATAGCACCACGGCGCGGGGCACGGGGAGGTGGTCATCACAGTTCGCGGGAGTCCAGGCCCCCAGCCAGCGTGGCAAGAAACTCGGGTGGGAGTAGGGGAGAGGAAAACACCACCACGAGGTGGAAGGAGGACAATTGGAGACAGAAACCATTTGTATATTTAAAAAAAAAAAAAAAAGAGCAACTCCCAAAGAAGATGGCTATGAAACGAGGGTGGAAAAATCTTAACTAGCAAAGGGGAGAATGGGAGGAGTGGGGGAGAGGAATGTGATCAGGGAAGAGACCATTTTGGACAAAGAGGGGGAATCCAGCAAAAGCCTTTGTCTTGAAGAGACCACCGCAGGGATGGTGGGAGTAGTGCTGGCTGGGAGAGACCATTCCTGTCTGGAGGAGGAAAGACGAAGTTGGGGTAGTGGGAGAGACCATTCCAGACAGGAGGGGGAAGAGAACCACGAATTACGGAGAAACCCATTTTAAAGAGAAGTAGAGATGGGGCGAGGGGCCGGGGACGAAGACTAAATCGGGAGCACGAAGACTCTCCGGGAGCACGATTTAAATGGAAGAGACCATCCCTGCGAAAGGTTGGGGGGAAGGGCGCCAATGGAAGAGACCACTGCGGGGAGAGGGTTTCATTCAAAGCTGAAAGGGACCACTCGTCACAGGAGAGATGATGGGGCTAGCTGCCGGACACCACTGAGTGTGGGAAGAAACCATGCCTAGAGGAAGGGGTGTTTAAGAACAGTGGGATAAAAGATGGCACGCCGTCGCCCCCACCCAGCAAACGGTGGCTGGGAGAAGGGAACCGAAAGGCTTGAAGAGACCACCCCAGGCAGATAGGGGGACAATACGGACCCTGAAGGGGCGTTGAAGGGAGCTGGAGAAAAACTACCCTTGAGAGAAAGAAGGGAAACCCTTGGAGTTGAAGGGGAGAAATAATAAGAGACCATTGAAGGGAGGTCTGGCGAGTGACCGGCGGGGAGACTGGAAGAGACCACCCTAGACAGAGAAGGGGTAGAGGTGTTGGGGGCTGGGGGGCAGCTGTAGCCCAGGGTTTGTTGGAAGGGACCACCCCAGGC